CAAGCGAAGAGACCGTGAGAACCGGTAATGGAGGAACGTATCGCCTCTATCTTCAGGGTAGAAGGAAAAATACCGGTTTTACCGGTTCTCACTGTCTCTTCGCTTGCGGATTTCTTATATTTTCCCTTGTACCCTGAAGATGGAGGCGATACGTTCCTCCGAAACGTCGGTTAACACCACATATACACGGTGCCAAATCCCAGAAGACTGCTTTCTTCTTATTAAGGAGAATATTAAAATTACAGGCAAACGGAGCCTAAGTTATAATGAACTCATACAGCGTAAGACATGTTCCAAAGAAATGGGCTCAACTTATTATATGAAGGGAAACAAGCCAAATTGCAGGGGTTAAAGGATCCAAGCGAAATAAATGGGGATAATCTGAACAATATAAGACGTGAAACCGGCAGGCATTTCAAGAATAAAAAAGGGGAATTTCTGAGAGACAAAATCAATGAACTTGCAACAAACAGTAGGAACAAGAACATTAGAGACCTGTGTAGAGGAATAATTGAACTTTAGGAGGGCTACCAACCTAGAAGTTCTTGAGTAGCTGCACAACTGGAGGCTTCGCAAGAAGGGTTCAGCTCTATGAAGTCAGTCAGTTGGTGAATGTACACGTACATGCGTCCATCTTGCGCAAAACTTCTGATAGAGTAGCCTAAGTATGATAACCTTGTACACAACTGCGTGAAAATCATGGAAGTTCAAACGAAAGTTCTGCTAATGTGCAGCGCCCTCGTTCACAGATTTTTGTTCAACATTTTGAAAAAAATCATCACTATATAAGATCAGAGGTTTTCACGGGGTTGACTATGAAGAAAGCAGTCTTCTGGGATGTGCCGCTGTGTAGATATTGTATTAACTGACGTTTCGGAGGAACGTATCGCCTCCATCTTCGGGGAAGAAGAAAGAAAAGTGCATTTGCATGTCCTTCGTGGCTAAAGTGAATGTCATGACAGCTGCTTCATTAACACTGGCAGAGATACGGTAAACGTGGAAAGTAATTCAAAAAAGAGAAAATATGTTATATTTTAATTGAATTTCTGTGTTTTGAATGGCATTATATAAAACGTACCTCTACATCTCAGAATTTGTTTTCTTCTCTTGCCATCAGTTGTCTGAGCAACCCATAGCTAGGGACCCAGACTGAGAAACAGCGTTCCTAACGCCGTTCTCTGCAGTTTATTGCCCCCTTGTAATTTGAAAGGGATGTTTCCTGTACGAAGTAGCCCATATATGACCTTCAGGGAAATATAATTTGTTAACGAATCTGTTTGAAAATCGTAAACCTGCAGTATCGTGATTCAAGAACTACACAATGGCTTGCTTTCTGAAGCTAGGTCACAGAGTAAGAGAGAGACAGACGCACACACCTTACGTTTATAAAGCAGATCTAACAACTGGCAGCATGAACTAATGATATTACACACCGCTTCGCTTCACGGCGCTGCCATCAGCTGGACTGTCTGTAGCAGTAAAATGGATGTTCAGTTGGAAAGGAAAGCCAAGGAACCGGTTGCAGTCGAATCAAGCTACTGTCTTGGCATTTGCCTGGAGGGACTGAGGAAAACAAAGAATAGCGTCATTCGGCAGAGTTCGTCGTCGCGGTCCAGATCTAGACTGAGCACCTGTCGCACAGAAATCAACAGCGTTACGGCCACGTCAGTTCTTTGGTCGATGCAAAAATTCAAATGATTGTTACCGGAAATTTAAATTGCTAACTTACAACTCACCGATTCATAATTCAAAGCAGAAACAACAGGTGTCAGAAGGGAGACAGTCTTACATTCCGCACGATAGTGAGGCTACCCAGGAGTGACACAGCTCCAGATCTGTATGTACGTTAGGGCACAGCGTGACGATACAGGCGAGCGTTTCGTTCTTTCAGATAACGGCAGCAGCCAGCTTATCTCTACGCCAAGAGGCCCACATATCCCCCCAGTCCCATCAACCGGACCTCCCAGTACTAGCGACTGTACCGAGTCTGACGTCAGCACCGAGGCAGTGGAGCCTACCGAGTCCAAGTAGCCTCACGATTCTTCTTGGGTGTACAACCGAATTATAATAAATGTTGATTGAATTCGAATTACAATTTGTCTCTTGTTCAAAGACCACACGTAAAACGCATGTTACAATGTGTCACATTAAAGAATCATGTTATTCCTCGACATTAGTTAACCTTCACAACGTGTTCTTCTTTCGTATAAGACAGAACTCCGTCTCAATTTCTGAACATATTGCGGAATTGTTATTTCGTGAGGAAAAATTCGAAGGGCGCAGTAGATTTCCTATTCTTATACAAGACACTTCAACCGTGTAATAAATGACGTCTCTGGTGCTTTCAACTTCCTTCAGTTTCCTTACTAAAATAGCCTAGCAGCATAGCGTGTACGTTGGTTCCGAAAACAGAGTAACCCTGTCCGCAGGCTCAACAGTAACCCTGCCACTGGAATAGCCTAGCGCAATTGCCTGTATGTTGGTTCCGGAAACACAGTAACCCTGTCCGCAGGCTCAACAGTAACCCTGCCACTGGAATAGCCTACCGGCATAACGTGTACGTTGGTTCCGGAAACACAGTAACCCTGTCCGCAGGCTCACAGTAACCCTGCCACTGGAATAGCCTAGCGGCATAGCGTGTACGTTGGTTCCGGAAACACAGTAACCCTGCCACTGGAATAGCCTAGCGGCATAGCCTGTACGTTGGTTCCGGAAACACAGTAACCCTGTCCGCAGGCTCAACAGTAACCCTGCCACTGGAATAGCCTAGCGGCATAGCCTATACGTTGGTTCCGGAAACACAGTAACCCTGTCCGCAGGCTCAACAGTAACCCTGCCACTGGAATAGCCTAGCGGCATAGCCTATACGTTGGTTCCGGAAACACAGTAACCCTGTCCGCAGGCTCAACAGTAACCCTGCCACTGGAATAGCCTAGCGGCATAGCCTATACGTTGGTTCCGGAAACACAGTAACCCTGTCCGCAGGCTCAACAGTAACCCTGCCACTGGAATAGCCTAGCGGCATAGCCTATACGTTGGTTCCGGAAACACAGTAACCCTGTCCGCAGGCTCAACAGTAACCCTGCCACTGGAATAGCCTAGCGGCATAGCCTATACGTTGGTTCCGGAAACACAGTAACCCTGTCCGCAGGCTCAACAGTAACCCTGCCACTGGAATAGCCTAGCGGCATAGCCTATACGTTGGTTCCGGAAACACAGTAACCCTGTCCGCAGGCTCAACAGTAACCCTGCCACTGGAATAGCCTAGCGGCATAGCCTATACGTTGGTTCCGGAAACACAGTAACCCTGTCCGCAGGCTCAACAGTAACCCTGCCACTGGAATAGCCTAGCGGCATAGCCTATACGTTGGTTCCGGAAACACAGTAACCCTGTCCGCAGGCTCAACAGTAACCCTGCCACTGGAATAGCCTAGCGGCATAGCCTATACGTTGGTTCCGGAAACACAGTAACCCTGTCCGCAGGCTCAACAGTAACCCTGCCACTGGAATAGCCTAGCGGCATAGCCTATACGTTGGTTCCGGAAACGCAATAACCCTGTCCGCAGGCTCAACAGTAACCCTGCCACTGGAATAGCCTAGCGGCATAGCCTATACGTTGGTTCCGGAAACGCAATAACCCTGTCCGCAGGCTCAACAGTAACCCTGCCACTGGAATAGCCTAGCGGCATAGCCTGTACGTTGGTTCCGGAAACGCAATAACCCTGTCCGCAGGCTCAACAGTAACCCTGCCACTGGAATAGCCTAGCGGCATAGCCTGTACGCTGGTTCCGGAAACGCAATAACCCTGTCCGCAGGCTCAACAGTAACCCTGCTACTAGAATAGCCTAGCGGGCATAGCCCGTACTTTGGTTCTTAACTAGTTAAGCACAGGGATAACTTTACTTTTTTTACATAACAATGTGACGTGACGCCTGAAGTCGTAATGGTGGAGCCAGAGGATACATCCATTACTAGGCAACGGTTCGGTAAACAAGTTCCCGAGGCGAAGGTAAGGGAGACAACTGTGACAATCCAGTTAGTGAGTGTTCAATGATCAGTTGGCACTCGAGTTGTGAAGAGAAGTCTAGGAGGTCGGTGTGAAATGGAAGCCAGCCTAGTAGAATCCTGTTAGTGAGTGCTGTATGCAGTCGAGCTCTGCAAGGGAGACAGAACAGACGGCGAACAAGTTCAACTGAAGGAATAGCTGGAAGAAAGAATCGAATGAGAATCCGTGAAGGAACGACGTGAGCGCGGGAAGCTGAAAATATACACCGTTAGAAGCTCTTGCCAGGGAACGGTTTGTTAAGACTTAGCGGGTGCTGTGGTCATTTATAAAGTGTGAAGATCACCGACAGACCTGTAATTAAGTGTAGTTGCGAGTGGTGCGATCAGGTGGTGACTAAATCCATTCATCAATCCATAGACCGTCTATAGTCACACCCCCAAATACGTGATTAAAACATATGCTTAAGTATTATTATGAGCTTTGCTTTGATGAGTGCTCCAGTAGATGCCAGTGGCGACCCTGCTGTCTTTGCCATTTCTTATCCTTCTGATGGACATCTACGTTTTTATAGAAACAACTTCCTCGTATAAAATATCCCTTCATAATTGTAATGTCTAATGCTCTGATAATTAAATGACCTTAAGCCACTGGAAGGTTGACAGGTGTTCCCACAGAACCTCTGTTTCCGCTCTGACTGCAGGCTGCAACCTCAATAGCAACATTTACAGCAGGCGACTTTCTTAACACGTAATTTCGCTGTCCGCGTATTTGTTTCAGTATCCTGTAGAGCAGAGATGTTCTATCTGCTGATATGGTTCACTGATAGAGGCGGAGGTAGAAGGTCGTGTCCTGTTTTCAGGTTTCATCAATGCATTTGACAGGATAAACCTATGAATGCAATAAGTAAGACAGTGAAGCCGGTCTCAGAGCTCAGAATCAAACCTCGTCAATACGAAGACACAGAACTAATTACTCAGCCATAATGTTCGATCTTAAATTAGATGATTGAAGTAAAATGTTCCCAACAAGTAAGCGGAGAGATATTCTGTAGCGTGTTGTTACGCAACGATCGCGAGAAGGAACTTGCGTTGCTTGGTAATGGCTGCCAATCATGTCAACAATACCCGGGCTACCGCTAGGCATCTGCACAGTAAAAGTTTCCCGCGGCAAAGGATATGCATGCAACGGTCGAGGTACTGTTGGACTACAACACTGGAGACGGTGTTTTCTATGTGGTTCGTACCGAAATGTTATAAACAGAGTCAGTCGAGTTTCGGAGTTTACAGTTGGCAGTTGAGGGAAATGACAAGAGGATCTGGGAGCGGGAAGCTGAAGAATGTCCACTGTTAGAAGGTGTTTCCAGGGAACGGCGGGTTAGGATATAACAAACTGAATAAGCTTGGCGGGTGCCCTGATGAGTTTTAAAGTGTGAAGATCACTGACAGCCCTGTAATTACTTGTAGTTCCGAGTCGTGTCAATAAATCCAATGCCCAATTCATACCCCGTCTACTCACGCCCCAAACCATGACAATATAACGGTAAAGCTGTCCCTGCAACAGGACGTGGATGCCCATAGGGTTGTGACACGTCGAGGTTGCCACATTTTCTAAACAGTCGGCTCACAGATAGCGGTGAGGTCAGCCTTACGCGCCGGCCGCAACCTCCCCCCCCCCCTCGAATACGCTAGAGTAAATATGAGAATGTCTTCAAACGTAGCTAATTTGTAATCTATAAACAACTGTGAAGTCCAACAGGATTCATCCATAAAAGGATATCTTCACGGGGTTTCCAGTCTCACACATCAGCAAACACAAATCATTAGAGAAATGACACAAGACACAATGAAAAAGATTTCGTAAGAGATTCTTATGATCCCGTTTCATAGAACACTCTCTTCTTCTTCTTCTTTTGCTCCCAACTGGAGCAAGGGCATGAGTGAACCGCTATTATTATTAT